CACGTTTGAAACTACAAATTGGGCTAATAAAAGAGAGTACGAAAATTTCGTTTCAGTGGCACTTTAAGATGATTTATTACATCGTTTTTACAGGTAGCCATGTAGTTTTGAAAGCTTTCTAAATAACTTACACAAAAGTGCTGTACAAGTTAAATCAAGGCTTGAAATAGTAAAATAGAATGCTGAATTGAATTAACTAAGCTTACAGCATGACAATATTTTCATAACAAGGAATTAGTTTTTTGTAAGTATTCATTCAAGAAATATACTGAATAAAGAGGAGGAAAAGCTTGACAAAAATAAGTCCTTAGCTTTTCAACAAAGCCAACTCTTTCTATGTCGAGGGTGGACTGTCATTGTCATCTGAAGAGTCAAATATGCATTTTATTCGTTTATAAGTTTGCTGTTTATGTCCTTCTGTTGAAGACGAGGAAGAGTTGATATTGATGGTGAAATTTCCTCCATAAAACTCAGCACACTTGAATAGCCCTGCTGCTGTTGGCATTGGACTTTGTTACTTTGTTGTTTCAACAAGATAGTGTGTTACAGTTTGAACCATTAAAGTTGAGCCACTCAATATTCTTGACATGCTTTTCTGTTGTTCTTGTGAAACATGACTGTAGTTGTTAATACTCTGCACATTTTTGTGTCCTGATAACTGCATTATATGACTAGGAGGAATATTCGTATCATTTAATGTTTGAATCATTCATTTTCGAGCGCTGTGGTTCGTAAGGTGAGAGTTGTCAAGACCGACCTTCTCAGCCATTGTTTTCATTAGACTGTTAAGTTTGTTAACTCCCATTGCATTGGCTTTAAACCAAATTTTATCAGACTTTTTTTGTAGCTTGATTAACACCCAGATAAAAGGGTGCATCTGGTTTGTTCATGAACTGTGGTCTCTTTTCAGAATAGATCTTGAAAACAACAACAGAATCTGGTTCATGCGGTAAATCTGGAGTCGTGAAAGCTTTAGGTTTGATTGGTCGGACATTACATGGATCAGCTTCACTTCTGGTTTTAGTTTGTCGTTCAGAAAAATGTAAATATTCAGTGCCATCTGCATGTTTTATGAGCTGAACGTCTCCCCAGCACATTTGCCGATGCTCTCCACATCCTTTAGTCCAAAATGCAGTGAATTGAAGAGCGAAAGTGTGTTTATCACTGCTTCTCCATTTGAAATTCCCAGGAGGTTTTTTCGTAGAGAATATTGATCTCATCATCGCTTAGGGCTTCTGCTGCATTAGGTCTATTACCTTTGCCCTCCTTTTTAAGTTACTTGTTTTTAGCTTCAGGACATTTTTCTTGCGCATTCAAAAGCAACTACCTCGATGACACTGACGGGATATTTGCATTCTTTCAAATGTCGATTAAAACTTGACAACAGACCTCTAAGACTTGAAGGTTCACAGTCCTTGCCATCTTTTCACTTCACACTAAGGATAAACTAACAGAGATATTCGTTCAATTCTTTGGCTTCGATGTCTTCAGGATTTCTTTGGTCGTGTTTTTCTAGCTACGGAGGTTTGCACGCAAGGAACTTGAACTTGTTGAATGAAATCAGTGTTATGTTTTGACAAGTCTCTCCTGATTGGTCGAAATGTCTTATGCATGTGTGAGAAAGCCATTTCGCTGCTGTGACTTGCTATTAGAATTTTTTAGGCTGGTTTTCTTATGAAGAAAACTGTGAATAAATCTCACTATCTGTATTAAATAAACGCCCTTTTTGCACAAAACCCTTCATTTATCTTCGCCTAGCTTTTCCAGTCAGAGACTGCCGTAGCTTTACTTCGAAAAAGCTATACATTTGTCTAGAGACCTTGACTAGAGACCTTGTCATGTTTTTTTGCATCAATTTGATCACGCACATTCAAAGGGGAAACAACAATTACTAGGGGATGAAATTGCACTGCTCGACGTCCACAGTTTATATATGACTGACTTTTTGTAAATCTAGTGACTAGGACGGCAACAACATCATGACCACCGTAAATTGCATTGAGACAGACTTGCATAACCTTAAGATAAACGTGGAAAAAGATACCATTCAAAATTTAAGCCCAAAGGCTACTGTTGCAGGTAATGGTGGTCACAGCGTGATGCTTTGAATTCGACAAAGTGCAATGCAACAAACTGCCTGATTACAGAGGACCCCTCCCTGATGCTCTAAATTGCCAACCAGGGTCTCTCCACTCTTGTTCACGGGATGATGAGAGACCCTGGAAACGAGGTTGGGAGTAAAGGACATTTCCACACTAAAATAACCTCATGGTTGTTTCTTATGTTGAGATTTTCCCATTTTTCACACCTTGCTAATTAATCACTCCAGGGAATACATTCAATTGACTAAATTCCCGCAAAAAGTCAGTCATCCGGACAGGTATGCACTAGTTTTTGATTGGTGAACCTGTTGGCAGTAATTGACAGTTGATAAAATCAGATTACATGAAAATTGGTGGACGTATGCAAAAAGTGCAGTTCTTATAGCAGGTATTCCTTCTTCCCCTTCTTCCTTACATTTTTTGCCTTCCAACCCAATCCCCTTCCCCATTTATGCCTGCAACCTAGGCCATAGTAACTGCGGGGGTGGTTCTAATTTCTGGGAAAATGATTTTTTTGCTTAAAGATATTGGAGCTGTTCAAAAAAACATCAGACTTCTATAACATAATAAGCTATTTTAATTGCAAATAGATTAATGTTCTAAAACAAACGAGAGAATTTGCTGCATACACGCATACCTAGCATTTCCATTTCCATTTGGAATCTTTTTCTTTCCATCAATAACTAATAAAGAAGACTGACTATCGCTGGAAAATACCTCAAATGTAAATGCCCTGCAATCGGAAATGTTGTCTGGGCCATGTTTAGCTGGCAATGATAAGTCTTTTTTACCTTTGGGTCACAGCTTGTGAGTAGAGAGATCAAATAAAGCCGGACTATTTACAGTGCCACACAAATCTTCTACATACGTGTACACTAACCCGAGGAACCAGCGAAACCCTTCTTGCAGCTATTTTGTCCACCAAACTTACATGCTCTTGGTGACAACAGAAGTCAATAATCCTAAACCAAGAAGACAAACAATAAGGTCTTGTTTGGAAATGCAGTGGACGTATAATAAAGGCAAATTACACAAAGCATTTGTACATTGATCTATTCACTTCACTTCCATTCACCATCACACATGCCACTTAATACAGGAATTGCGCCCTATTAAAGAGTTAACCATTTCCAGACACGAAGGGGATGCCATGATGTTGATGCCACGAGAGTCTCGTCACTGAATGATGATGTCATGAAAAATTTTGATATATTAGTTTCAGTTGCAATGCATTATGGGAAGATATTCATTCCT